CCCACCCCGACCTCCGCTGAAGAGATCCATGGACCGGCCGTGTTTGCATGAGAATCACACTAAGACAAGGCAACATCGATTCTTGGACCGGTGGTCAGACATGTGAAAAAAAGGGCAAAAGAAATCTGACCTCTCGAGCCCGAATCTTCACGGTACACAACCGGTTTGGCGTCAGCAAGAGCCAAGACCAACCACACGCATGCACTTCATCCCAATGACGCTCAGACACACCACCGACTCGGCGCGCGAGTGACCGCGATGCATTTTAGAAGTACAACCGGAAGAATGCCGGACTTCCATCTTTACACACACCTGGTCCACCCGGACAGCCTGCCGTCTACATCCTGAGGATCTTCCTCTGCTGATCGATGCCGCCGCGGAACATGTCAGCAATGACACGCCCCCCCAGGATGGTCTCCTTGACGATGCCCTCGACGTGCCGCGGCTCCACGCGACCGTACCAGATGCCCTTGCCCGCAAGGCCATGCTCGGTCCCGTCCTGCGCTTTCATACCCGGCGGCACGTAGACGATGACGTTGCCGGCAAATTTGTGGCCGCCAATATGGCTAATGAGGCCGACTCGCGCCGCTGCCGCACCCCTCTGTGGCGCCCCCTCGCCGCCGCCGTCGTGCGCAGTGGCCCCCTCCTCGAGCCTCCGCCCCTGGTTCTCCTCGACGTCGCCCTCGACCTCCCCCTTCAGGACATGCACGCCGGCCGCGTCGAGCTGCGTCTCGAATTCGCTCCGCAGCACGGGCCCTGTGATACCACACCGCGCATCCCGCCCGCCATGGCCGCAGATGAGCACGAGGACGTCCTGCACGTCCTGCACGCCGTACAGCATCTCGCGGTAGGCCTCCTTCCGCAGCAAGCGGTCGCGGTGCACCGGCGACAGGCCGTCGTGCACGGGATGCAGGGCCTCGGGCAGGAGGTAGCCCTTGGCCAGCGCCTGGACGCTCTCAAAGGACACGCGCGGCAGGAAGGGCACATACTTGAAGCTGGGGAGCAGGTAGGCCGATGTGGTCTGGAGCTCGGCCCTGCGGCGGGGCGTTGACGACGGAAACGACGCGTTGAGCACCGAGACGTTGTGAAAGGGCTGTTGGAGGGCCAAGGCGCGCGCGCGACTTACCGTCAGTCTCGGGTACACTGCATGTTTCATACTTGACAAGACGAAGGAAGTTGCATACTGTAAAAGACAGAGGAAGATTTCCACATGGCAAGCGGATCGCAACCGCACCAAGACAGGGTCTCTGCCGGCATGCCCTCAGAAGACAAAGAGGAAAAAAGAGACTAGCGAGAAAAAAAGAGGGAAAAAAAGAGGAAAAGTAAAAAGAACAACTCACATCGCTGTAGGTCCCGCCCCTGCCAAAAAGCTCCTTCAGGTCGGCGGCGAGGTTGTCGCCGCTATCCTCCTCCTCGATACGCGACGCCCAGTCGTCGCGCCCTGTGCACACGAGCAATTGCTCCGCGTACCCCG